GTTTCCCCCCATGGACTCTTCCTATAGATATTTGAAAATCTTATTTATCTAATTATAATTGTAGACCACAAAGACATAGATCTGGGATAATTTTACCCTGAAGTCAATGTTTTGTACGTAGTCTAAATGTGCATATGGCAGCGTGGGGCGAGTGAATTCTGTTTTTAACCATTTCGGAAGTATCGACGTTCAGCGTGTACGTCGTGAACAGGAAGAAAGATCTGTTACGTATACGCGAAACCATTAGTCATCATTTAGCATAGCGTCAAAGACTGTACTATTATATTTCGTCCAGCCTTATATGCGGCTAGCCGTGCATTTCGTTCAGTCTGTACTTTTTTATCTGTTTTGCACGTGTCGCAGATCATGTTTTTTCATGAATTACTCATGCGATCGTAGTGTAGGAAGAAGGTGTGTAAACTTTATTCATACGCTGGCAAATATTTTTAAACCAAACACGATTATTTTAACAAGTCCCAAAAAAAAATTGTAAAAAATATTTTTTTTTTTTTAATTTTTTTATTATTTCTCCTATTTCAGTCAGCTTTTAAAAGTTGTTTCAAATGGCTTCAGATAGCAGCTTTCTTATTTTGCTACTTGTTGTATCGATAAGGATAATTGCTACGTTTTGTAACGATACTTCGTCTGGTACAAGCTGTTACTCTTGTTATTTTCTCGGAGACGTGAAGTATCGAAGTACTGGTAATTGATAGATAACGTTTAACGCTGCAAGTATTTATATTGTGTGTATGATCGATGCAAGTCACGTGATGTGAACCAGTCTAATTGAAGGATTCTAAATCTGTCTTGGAATTCCTTTCTGATCGTTTAGGTAAGGTTGTCAGACGTTCGTCGATTATTATCGGGGATGTCTGCGATAGAAAGTAGAACGAAAACATAAAGTATATAAAAAAATATATCGTTTATCTGGGAATGATTACTTGTCTTGTTTGGTATTCGGATCATTGGAAACAGGATATCGTGGAGCAAAGTGTATCTAATTGAAGTTATGTTATTTTGCAAACAAAGTAACGGTAGTTCTGATTATGACGTGTGCATACTTAAATTGTCCGACACTTTGTATAATGTTTTTTTCAATGTGAAAAATAATTTATATCTAAATTGGTCACTATCAGTGTCGACGCCACTCATTTTTTTTTTTTTTTATAGAAATTGACGATCACTTTTTAGCCCACAAAGAGCTTAACAATTGAAGTGACATAGGAAAAGAAACATAATCGAGGCTTGTCTCGTACCCACATCTTCCATTTTCCGTATGATTAGTCCAATCAATTGATCCTACTCTAGTCTAACGTAGAAAAATGGCTGTCACTTCTAATTCGATTCACTTTCAAAAGTGGGGTGATCCTTAAGTCGAGTATAAAATTCACAAGGACCAATCGTACAAAGTATCTCGCATTTTTGCAAACTCTCCGCAAAAGGAGAAAGAACCGACCTATTGATCTGTTTATTCCGGGATACAGTTCTGGTTCTTCCAGTTTCTAGACCGCTGCTCTAATCAATTGAGCTTCCCTGACCGCGAACAGAGTTCTTTCTTCTTGATTGTGACATTTAAACGATACCTTCTCGTCCAGACCGACAAAACAGTTCAATTTAAGCTTTATAACTTACCTTAACTGTGCTCTGAAGTATCTTAAATATATTCTAACAAGGGAACATCACGAAGTGATAAAACTTCGGTATATAGTAGTTCTCAAAAAAATATTCGACACGTATTTTTTTATATCGGCAATTGTCAAGAGTAATGGGTTGAAAATCGCCCTTAAAGTTTAAAGATGTTTGTATTCTTCAACGACAAATTTGAAGAATAATAAATAATTTTGTATTTTTTTTTTAATTCTCTCGTTGAAAATTACGAGATTTGACAATTTACACTGTTCCCCTATCTGTGATAGTTTCCGAGATATTAGACTGAATACGTTTATTACCGCCATCTTTGAGGGCGATTTTCACGCCTCCATTGTGGACGATTGACGATATAAAAAAATACGTGTCCAATATTTTTTCGAGTACTACAACATACCGAAGTTTCATCAGTATCGGTGATTATCACTTCGAGATGTTTTCATGTAAATTAGATTTAAGTTTAGCTCAGTTTACATTGAATTGCTCCAAGATTTATATAAAATATACCCTATCTTATCGTAAATCTATAGATGCATTAGAATACAAGGATACAGTCAGAATATTTATAATCGTAAGAGTTACATGCGGTGACAAGGCAGATTTGCATTGTAATCTTGCAACGTATTATAAATCGTACAGTAGTCCTCTATCAGTATTTCTGTGACTCGTCGATCATTGACGAGAGCGTCAGTCTACGCTGAGGATAACGTAGACGGGAATACACGAAAGAAATAAACAGCCTTGATAAGACGAGGGGAGCATCAGGCTAACGTTTTCGAGCTGAGGAAGCGGATTTAATCATGGAAACGTGCACCAGTGACCTTCGCCACGAGCAAAACAAATCTTAAACACCCAAAGCAAGAATACTTATTTCGTAATTTACATTTTGTTTTTTGCATTCTTCGTTCATTTTTTAAGACCACGCAAACAACAGTAGTAGTATCTTTAATACATCGGTAATATTTGTTTTTTCCATAATTTTCGATTTTCTAATTTTCATTAATTTCCCTTTTAATCTCCTATTTAATTTCTTGTACGAACCATTACACGATCGGCAATTGTTCCTTTTACCTCTTTGCTCTCTTAATTGATACTTCTATTTACCGATAAAATCTTGAAAAAGTCAACGCGGAGAAAACGCTAAATTTATTCAAGGTAGAATTGATCGAGAATGTCAATTAACTGGCCGTGAGATGAAATATCATCCACGCGTTACGAATATGAAATGTAACGAGGAAACGTCGAAGCCTGAACGTTCATTTTCACTCGTGCTATTTATTCCAAAAATTGCTATTTCACGCGGCAATTCGAAATTTCATGCCTCGATGAATTTGAAAGACGTACTGTGAATATTAGTTAAAACGTGAAAATAATATTACGAACACGTCTGTTTTTGGTATCGTATTTCAGCATGGAATGTGTTTACTATATACATAACTTGAAGTTTTTTATGCGCGATGAAATAACGTTCGACCGTTACGAAAACCGAGAAGGGCAGTTTTGTTTTGCTATTTAAGACGGATTCCTGTTTCGTGTGGCGTCGCAATCGTACGCGTCTGAACACTTTCAGGGAGAAAAAGGTTTGTTTTGCTGTACACGTGGCCGAGGGGATCGTGTTAAACGGAATTCGAGTGCGTGGCTGGAAATCTCGATATTTTTTACGACGTTAGCGTCGATACGTGCAGAATTCGATTTTTTCGACGTTCTTAAAGCAGCGTAAAGTGAATACCACAGAACGGAAATTGAATATTCTATGTCACGTGGTCAGCGCATAACCTCACTTCTTTAGTTCGAAGCACGTTTAGCTATACGAGGCTCTGCATGATTTAACGATTATAATATTGAAAAAAAATGTGTCACGGATAAGATGAATTTAATTAGGTTAGTACATATTTAAAATTAGATCATGATGTATTTCGTTATCGTTGAACAGTGAAGCTGACTAATATTTCAGATAACAATTTAGATCTGAATCTATACGTGAAATACATTCTTTTTTTCTTTTTTTCTATAAAAGTTTGCTGATATGTAGACGACAAAATTATTATTTATTTTTAAATAGAAATTTCTTGTTTTGCAAATTAATTTTCAAAATTCGAGCTTATATCAATTTTTTTGTCTGATATACACCGAGTTCGCGATGTATTATTTTCATTCAGTGATGAACCATGAATAATAAATAATATTTTGATTCAATGATGAACGATAAGTAATAACGGATATGTTATTGTAACGGACAATGATGATAAATAATGACGAAAATATTTTGTACTTCTAATAATACTGCGATAGTAGATTTCATTTAAGTGAAATCATCGATATATACGTGAGTAAAAACTCGTTTCTTTTATGTCTCTTTGATCCGTAATCACATTAAACACAAATGTACCATTTTTCGAGAAACATTCTAAAAATATATTGAATTATTATGCTAATGTTGCGCCTTTTTCTGGAAGCGACAAAAAAAAAAAAGAAATAAGGAAAGCAGATGCTGAGTCATAGAGGCGAACTCCTCGCGCGAGTTCGAACGTGCATGCAATTGAAATGTAAATAACCAGTCACGTTTTACGTAACCCCATGGAAGATTGTGCACGTCGGCTCGTAAATTGTATTAAATTGTAACCAGTTAAGGTCAGTGTTGTAACTCACGTTCGGATTAAGTCCCGGGCCATCAGTTAGTAAATGTAAGGTTTCCCAGAAATAAGAATTTTAACAAGTTCAGTGTCCATTGGACTATAATATGGGTCATGATAATTCGAACTTTCACAATCACTGACAGATGAGTCTTTTTTGGTGTAGGGATTATTCGAGCGAAAGTATCCGAATATAAGAAGTTTATCATAAGTCCACAACTTTTCAATTTTCATTTTATTGCTTTAGTGAAATATCTTTTAACACATAAATTTACCGTAAGAAAAAAATGTCAGAAGTTGAATTATAATATTTCCAACGAGTAAATTTTGGCCGACTGATGTTTCATAATACTGTAATTAAGTAATTTTCCAAACAGAAATTTCCTTTTTTCTTTCACTTCAAAAATTTCATTTTCAACTTACGAAAGTTTTTTCGCTGTAGTACGATATGTAATTTAGGTTCAATTTTTTAATCGATTCAGTAAAGGTTAGATTTCTAACTACGTATGTAAATAATTTGTAAGTTGCTGCACCTACAAAAATATAACAGAGGAAGAAATAGTACGTGTTCGCCCCCGCAGTGAACGTGTTAATTGAATTATTTTCCATATTTTTATTGCACTGTTATACCAGACACTCGATTCTCGAATCATTATCTTTCCAGTGTGTATTATAAGAATAAGGTTAATTTTTGCTATAATTGCAAATTGCAAATTACAGGCGCTCTCAGGAGGAGTTCCTTGGATCCTGGTGCCAGGAGATTCTCCTTGGGCACACCCGCCATCCCCCATAGAGCATCAGACGCATGCCTTGATCCTGCGCACGCTGCGATTCTCTTCAGGGACGCGAGGGGGGTGAGTGTTGTTTTTAACTACTATCTTCAATTACGTACGAATAAATTTTTAATTTGCTTAATGGTTGTGTTGACATTGATTTTTATAATCACAAGTATCAGCAAGATATGGTTATTTTCAACGGTAACGGTGAAAGAAGTAATGCACAAGGTGTTTCATATATTTCGGATATTTGGAATATTCTTGTCGCTCTATTGGCAGTGTTTCACAACAACTCAGCAATATATTATAATCGGTTGACAAAGTGTCTATTTATGGACGCTTACGTTTTTGAATTTCTGCGCCTCGGTTAGAGAGTAGAAAATTTATGCAATCAGCATCTAAATATCAAAGCAAAAATAAAAACGTAAGGAAATAAATGTTACAGCTACGAAAGTCTCGTTTTAAGATTTTTAAGTGTAGTGTGTATTTCAGAATTGCATATTTTTCGTGTTGTATTTTTATAAAATATAAAGACGGTAAATTTATCAGTGTATTTGAGATATGTTTATTGTACACGGTGTAGTTGAAACGACCGTGAAAAAGAAAGTGCAGTATTCTGTTAGAACGGGAAAGCGGATGAGCTTATGAGGCTTACCGCGTGAATTATACATGCTTGATAGAGCCATTCTTGTTGCAGTGCTTGGAAGTATAAAAGAACCGTACGTTAATCGCGTTAGAAAATGTATTAAATTGAATGGCTGCCGTTCCGTGGCAGCTTTTACAGTAAACCGAAAGCGAATAAAGATTCAAGTACGAAAACTCACGATTTTATAACGCTTTCACACTTTGATAAAAAATGTTTTCTTTTCAAAGCATGCAGTGCGAGTAAACGTACTTTTTCGTTAATCAAAAATATATATACCTTCGCTAGAAAAGATATTGACGTTTTCGAAACATTTTAAAAAGAAAAAAATTTTTTGAGTCAATTTTTACAATCGTAATATTTTTTACATCGGTCTAAGATACTTATTATTAAGATATTTTCCGCAATGCCAATAAAAAGTAATATTTCAAATGTCCAAGTTAAATGAAACACCCTGTATATCCAGACACTGATTTCAAAGTGTGTTGACCTCTTTCCGTCTTGGTAGACTTCAGCTACCGACAATCAGTGTTTATGTTTTTACACACTCTTCAGTCTTCTCGAACTTAAAACAACGATTAATATAAACAGAATGGTATACGTATAAGAATATCTCTTTTAATGTTTTTTTTATCGACATTGACGTTAGCAAGATTCTTCGTGCGTTAAATTTTTTTAATTATCTCACATTCCACGCTAGATATGGGTTTCGTGTTTGCAAGAGTCGGCGATACATAGTATCCCTATCACGTTGCACGTCTCTGATATCTCTCTTACCCTACGGTTTTCGCACGAGCTTCTTGATCAACAACGAACGGAACAAAAACACGCCTGCCAAGCGCGTTACTTCCTCACTTTTTCTCATGTTTCCCTCGTAACGATTTATTGTGCGAACCCCGTTTGTAAATATCGATCTGACGAAACGCGAGAAGAGCAATCTAGGTCACGATGAAAGCTCGAAACATAAGAGGTAGAAGGGAATTTAGTCGATGATGAGGAAAAAAGCGTCGTTCCTGTAGCTATTTTATCATGCTGGAAATGTAGGTCGAGGTTATTTCTTCTTCTTTCTATGCATCTTGTTGTGTACCGCCACGAGGAACGCATAGGTGGAAAGGTCCAAGTTGTTAATGTGCTGCTTAATTACTTTTACTGCTAATTAAGCACGTGGAGAAACTCCGTCGGTTTGAAGGTCGATAAATAGTGTGCGACAGTCGGTAAAAATGGGTTTCGCAGATATTTTGGCTAGATATCTTTGTAGGTAAAACAGTCAGTCAAATACAATTTTTCTATATTACCGACATTATAATCTACCGAAGGTGGATTAGGAATTTTCTTTTTTCCTATGATGGTATCTGATAGATAAATTACTGCTCTGATCTTTTATAATTTTTATATATTTTGTAAAATATCTGTAT